TGGTCAACCAACTATATACACAGCGCATATTGTATCACATTACATGTACAAATTTTATCGGGTATAACTTCTGAAGTGTAAAATAGTAAACAAATGAGAAATATCTAGTCCTGTAGATAGGCTGAGCTCAGTAAGAGTCTCGGATTTGTCTCATCATTAATTCATAAAAAGTTGAGCTATTTGTTTCAAAATCAGACAGTTCGTTGACGTTTTTCATCTGATAGATCCTAGAAAATTATAAAGATCCCGTGGTAGACCTTGTAATGTACATAAAACCTCAACATAATAAATTAGTGTGAAGGATTATGCATCAATAAAGTTCTCTGAATATATCAATGGTCTGTTTGACCAATATTTAACGTCAGATCCAAAATCTTATAGGATATTAGCCCAGTCTATTCTTACTCTTAAAGATCCCATATCTGGTTATATTATTATTAAAGTAATGAGATACTGGTTTATATGTTACATGGCTATTTCTATTCTATATCTAATTTAGATGATATTTGGTTTTCCCGTTGTCAGTATAATGTGGCCGGATGGGGTTTCCTGCCCTCGGCTCCCAGCAGTATAATTCATATTCAGTATAACAGCATCATACATAAGTTTCGGTTTCACATTCTCACCGGGAAATTAAACATAAACTATCGCGGCCTCTCAAAAACAATCAGGAAATACTATCCTGTGAACATTATCCTTATCCGAACTCAAATTCAATAAAATAAGGTCAAAATAGGAAGAAAAGTAAGCGTTACACGTAGATTCCTGAAAATACGCTAGCAAAATAAGACAATTGTTCCGGAAGAGTAAGCGTTTTCTGCTTCATCGACGACGCCTGCCATATAAATCCGGGTAAGTAATGTCATATTCCCATATTATTATATATAACCATCAGTCAAACTAACGAACATCAAACACGTTCAGTTTCATATCGCACAAAGATATAGAATATTTCCCAATAAGAACACTATGACGACCCATCAACCTTCCCCATATTTTTCATAAACCTATATCTTTTGAAACCCTGAGTTATGAGTTTGTCCATCAGTTGACGACAACCACATACACTAACCTCGAATATACCGGGAGTTCGTCCTTAAATGACCATACATCTAGTTGTTAGTGTGAAACAATATAAATCAAAATCAAGCCATGGTGACCTTAGTCAATACGTTACATAGATGGTTTCTAGGGTATAAATTATAGTTTAGAGAATCTCCAACCTACTGTGTTCACACGTCTTCATGTCTTTATTTGATTCGATATTCAAATTATTGTGCCAAAAATTTCAACTTTCGCGAAAGTTTATCACAGCTGAACATATAACACTTTATTTAGAGAAATGCAAGATTTAGAGGACAATTGAGAAGCCTTATAGTCGGCACTATGATCAAATTAGAAAAAAACACTTACCTCCTTGTGGAAAATAATTTACTATACATTTATTTGTTTGATGCTCGTTCGTATGCTGTTGGTTTCAGTGATTTTAATATTTGTTCTCATTTGAGGAGATGACATAACTTGCTTGGGTTAGCCAAGGGTGTCGTCGACAAGCTGAAAACGCATATTGTTTTCTGGGTTTATTCTCTTTATACTTTTTCAATGATCTTCATGTACTTATAATTGTTATGAGTTTAAGCTACGATGCTGTAAGTTGGAAGTATTTTCAATGTTTTATAGATATGTGATCGATACAATAATTTCAAAACATTATCATAAGGACAAATTCATCAGTTATTCAGGTTTTGGTTGGATACACGGTTCGAGGTACCTTTAGCTGAGTGTTGATAACACAGACTATCCTCAATATGGGCCATCCAGAGCAGACTGGTGAACTATGGTTTCCTTGGAGCGTAACTCTGGGTAGTGTTCGACTCATTTTTCTAGTTGTTCAGATGTGATTGTGATGATCATGCCATATTTCGATTTCGGAGGTGCAGTTTTCTTGGTTGTGGGTCCGACTGCCTTTTATTCCGTCATACATGGCTTTAATCAGATGCTTGCTGTATTGATTGACAGAGGCTAGTCCAATGCTCATTTGCACAGCTCCTGACTGCCTTTTGGATGGTGCGTAGCAGGAGTGTCATCCCCTGGGCGCTAGCTTAGGCAGAACTGTGGAGATTCTGTAATGCCCACGCAGCTGATCACTCTCTCGGTCTAGCTGGTAGGGTCCAGAGGAATGGTGAAACCAGTGCGTCTGGGACCAGATCGGCTATAGCAACTGCCAGAAGAGTGTTGAGTACAACACAAATCCGCCTATGGGACTACACTCCAGATTTTCTGCAGGGGTTGTCTCCCTTAGCCTTCTCCAAACCAATGGTAAACCCAAAGGGAGACCACTCACGAGTCCTCGTAGTTCAGCCTGGGCCGCTAGGTACACAGTTACCGTGTATCACCGCGGGGAGGAACTACGTCGGGCTTGTCTCTGAGAGGCTGAGTGGTAGCTTGCAGTCGCCATGTTCGAACAAGGAATGCTTTATCAATAATTATTATCAATCATATCGCATTTTGAAGCTAAGTATTAAAACGGCGACTCATACGATGTTGATATCGGACTAAAAAAACGAGGCGTTGTAAACAACATTAAACTTCACGAATAGTTCTGTAGCGGAAGCATTTTTGAACCTCGCAGTAAGTCTAGACTAATGAGAAAACTGCATTATCATGCAGCATTACCAAATAGAATCTAAAAATGAAGTTCAGAATGAATCATTTGCAAATATTGTACAGTTACGTATTTATAGGATCTTGCATGCATTTCCGTTTGATATGTTTGAAAATTAATGAATGAAAATGACATGATCTAATTATCTAGAGAATGTATCTGTGGTCGTCCCTGTTACGTCACAATGAATGTATGTATGATTTCATTTCATTATCCGAGTGACATCACAGTAAGTTTTTTCTTACGTGTACGTATACACAGAGTGCTATCAGTTCTACCTGTATACTACTGGTTTGTCCACGCCAATTCACCCAGATGTTCTTGTATTACACACCTGCCCATGCAATACATGTCCCTTCCCAGTTTACGTCATCACCTGATACAATATACGTGTATACCCACACGTACACAAATAGTTATTTGCAGCAACTGTTTATATTTTTATGGACTTTCTAGCTAGGACAAACTTCGTTTGTTAAATCTACGTACGGAGAATTTTCTATGTCAACTTGTCGAGTAATTGCATCAGAGAAATATCATTGTTGTGTAATATGACGTCCTTGTGGTTTATTGTCGACGTTAAAAGCTAATGTCTTTACGATATTTCAGAATGAAAACTACTCTATCATATGTCGAGGTGAAGGATGGGTCATTTCACCCTCAACGTCACAAAATGTGGTAAAACCCTCGGAAAAGCTGAACGAAGACAAATTATGCAGAGTGATTCCATCATAAGAGAACATACTAAACAAGACCAGGTCATTAGTCAGTTGACACGAGAATATTTTCCTCATAGAACTTAACCCTATTGTCGTATGCGACACAAATTAATAATCACGAGATTCTGTAATATACGTGTATATGGAAGCGATTTCATTTTGATTTTTTTTTTTTTTTTTTTTGAAGAATTGGAAAGTTTTTAATTTTTAATATGTTTTGACAGATAAATCAATGATATTTGTATATATTTGTATTTACTAAAGATACACTGTTCTTCTGTATTTGTTGAAAACAAGTTTTGCTAAAAGCATTATTTGAATCTTGAGTTATTATTATTATTATTAAAGATTCAATGATTGGAACTTTTATGTACGGAATTTGTCATTAGATAACTAAAGTATGTATTTACCATTAAACAGGAAAGGTAGAAAAAATGAGGAAGCATTTCTATCTATTTATTTTTTTCATTTTCTATTCATCCCTGACTTTTCTCCTCGTCAAAGTTTAACTAATAAGTAGGAGTTTTCGCCCTTGGTTTCTCCCGCGATATGCTACACTGGACGTGATACACTGACAAGAGACGCTCAAGTATAAACGAATAAGAACACTAATAACTCGTTTAAAAATTCATTTATTTATTTATTTAAATTATCATCGTTTCTCAAATCTTTTGCCCATCAACATGGTTTTTATGAATTAATGCCATTTGATATAATCAGAGTTACATAATGCAATAATAATAATCCATATTTTCAATATATGCGAGAAAAAAACATATAAATCACAACACTATTTGAACTAGCGACTATTGTATAATGTACAGATAAAATGTAGCTTGTAGTTACTATTACGATCATATACCCGATATTTCCCTGTGTAATGACCGCAGATGATACTATAAATAGTTTTTTTCACTATGTTCTTTTTTATTTTAATAGTGTGAAGGGCGTAGTTTAATGTCATTAATGCATATTTGGGATGTAATACGGTTTTGGTATTTATCCAATGAATATTTTCATCGAATTATCATAATCTATCTATGATTATTTTATTCCATCGTAGAAATGCATTAAATTTGTTGATGCAAAATTATACGTCTGTTTTTTAATACAATGAGAGAACATAGGTATTCTGTTACTTCATTTGCAGTAAAGAGAATTTATAATTAAGCATTGACTCTTGCTTTGGTCGATTGTTATGTTGTAACTCTTCTTATGTATTAATAGCGCCAAGACTTTAATCAGGAAGGAGGTCTGGGCGCTCTTGGGTTTGTTTGGTATTACTATTTTCTGGAGATGGAAGATTAAAAAAAATATTTGTATGGTATTTTGTCAACATTTGCAAAGTCTCATGCAGATATCAAAACACTGAAAACAAATCTGTTCAACTATAATGACCACAATGTCACATTTTGAATAATTTAATCATTATCATATATCATGACACACTTATTTTCAATGGGATTTCAAGTTAGTAAAGAATTGATAAATAACAAATTTGCTCTGGATATTAGTTTGGAATATTCTGATTATGTGCGTTCTGTGTTTTATATTACTTTTGGTGTCCATTCCAATTAAATATCATAATCATTTAAGAATTTGGTACGACTGGTTCGCTATTTCCCTGCCAATTCCAGAATGGCTTCTCCAAATTTCTTGTAATCCTCGAGACAGTTATAGATTTGGACCGACAGGCGGACGTACAGCAGGCCCTGTACAGACTTCAGACTGACATCTATGTGGTAGTCGTACCAAAGAATATCCATGAGGGAGAAAGCATCTTCCTGTTAGGAATTAGATCAATGATTAATTGTTTCAATTTGAAAGAATCTCAATTATGTACTTTGTAAAAAGATCAGTGATTGATGTACACATTTTGTTTCAATTTCATAGAATCTTAGTGATGTACTTTGTAAAATGTCTGTGATAGGTGTACAAATTTTATTTCAATTTCAAAGAATCTCAATGATGTACTTTATAAAACGTCTGTGATTGGCGTACAGATTTTGTTTCAATGTCAAAGAATCTAATTGATATACTTTGTAATTACCGTAACTTAGTCGACACATTATCATCAATGCTAGTTATTTATCTCCAACACTAATACAAAGGTAGTTTTAATCTACTTAAGACATGCAAATGAATAACACCCACAACAGACAGGTTTTTTTATTTCTTCGTTCTGGTGCTAGGAGCCTAAATTTTGAAATGTAGGAGTAAAAAATCAATGATCGAAGAAATGGGGAGATGACTAGTCTCATTAGTAAAAACATTTCGCTTTTTATATACCCTTCTATCTTATAATTACAAAAGAACATGTAGTAAATGTGTATATTTTGAATCGTGCCACCATTCTGGTGAATTAAAACATGGAAATTGACTCTTTTTATCATGTTACTCATATCAATTTCAATATATTGAGAAAATGATGTTATGAATTTTCTTTGCTTTTGAAAATTGTGTAGGAATCCATCACGATCAAACATAGATTTTAAAAATGATTTCACGTGAAAATCAATCTTTTGTTGTCTTATCTACTATACCAACACATTTTCTGAATTTCGAGATTGTTTAGTTCCATGTAGCAGTCTCATGGTGCTCTAAGTTATGCACAAATGTCTTATAAAGATTTGTAATAATTGTAACCAAATAAATTTGTAGAGCAAAGAAAAAATGGTCATTTAAGTTACCATCGGTATATGTTTTTCCTTACCTCCGAAGTGCCAAAGCCTGAGATCTTTGGCAGACATACCATCCTGAGGAATGGTGGTTCCATGGAGGATGGGATAGCTAGCCTACTCGTACCCCACAACGAAATCAGATAGTTTGACGCCATTTCTATAAGTCTGGTGTTGTATTCTGATATTCGACCCTGCAAAATTTAAAAAATAATTAATCAATATAAACAAAAGAAACTGATCGTTGTAAATATTGAATTTCTCCTTTAAGAAAAGTTGCTTGACGCCAATATTTCCACACCGCGAAACTTTCTTCTTTTATAGTATACACATGAAATATCACTCACAAGCCCGCCTTTGCTCTGAATGTATTCAATGGCTGCAGGTAAAGAGTTGTAACAACTGTCATCCTTTGTGCCTTGCAAGCAAAACTGCGTCACAAGATCGTCTGTTGGTGATGAACTCATAAGCGATCTCAACCGAAACGAAACCTTTTTATTCTTCCACACAAAGGCACACCCCCATGGTGCAAACATCCATTTATGGAAATTTCCTGGAACAAAAATACGCGTATTGAAAAATATTGGGAACAACCATTACCACCCTCCTGACGTGACGTCATCATCAACCGTTATATATTAGCGCATACCACAATGAGTTTTTGATTGCCATTACCTTGTCTTTAATTTGAACGTTTCCTAGAATTATCAGATACACGACAAATTCGAAATTCGTATTATCACTGGGCTAGTACACCTCCCCATCTACATTTGAACTTTACTTTCGGTCAATCTAGGTTTACCTCAGTCGTCTCCTGGGCTTCAAAAATTTGGCCCTAGGCACCACAAGTCCTATAAGAACGGAAGAGCTGTAGAATGCAGTTGAAGCAATTGTTTTAATCTACTGTAATTCTAAATTTGTACAAAAAAGTGTTATTCACTAGCAAGTCCTTTCTACAATCTTGAACCAGAGTTCTCCATGAATTCACACATTCTGTATTTCATAAAGTTTCACACTTTCATTAAGAAATTAGGTCACAAAAACTCCCCCATTACGTAACTACGGTAGTAAAAACTCAATATGCTTGTATAAAAGTTGTATATTATGGAAACGAAAGAAGGGTATTATAGTTTAGAAAATCATGTGGAAGCCGGATTTTCATTTTCCGGAATCTCCCTGAATGGAGTGTTACAATAAATGAAAACGAAAGCGAGACGTGGGAATGGGAAGTAACATCTTGAGGGACAAATTTTCCATTAACAGGTCATAAAATACATGATGATAGATAATTTGCATTATTTTTATAAGAATATGAGATAAGCAGCTGCATACCAATGTAAAAGTCAGTTTCGTTTTCGTTGAGACAAACCGGAAATTGTCCTGGAGCATGCGCACCGTCAATGACGGTTATAGCGTTGTACCTCTGACACAGCTGCACAATTTCCGTCACCGGAAGCTTCATGGTGCACGTGCAAGGAACCAAATCTGAAAATAAAAAAAATGGTTTTTAACAACAATTGGTGTTGCATGAAAGTAATGCTTTCTAAATGTCAGGTCTGTGTATATTATAGTATACTGTACCAATAACAACAGCTCGCACGTTCGGGTCATTGTCCAGTGCTTGTCTAAATAAGCTGACCACTTGTGTTGTATCCTTAATGGGCACCGTGATTTCGACAACTGTAATCTTCACGCCTTTTCAAGTAATAAAAAATACAAATAATTACGTTTGTAATCAAGACATGTTTGGAAATATTTTGCGTTTAAGTAAAATACATTTTATAACATTTGAAATGAAGTCTTTTCCACTTACCCTTAAAAGCAATAATCTCCATCATTAATATAAAATTAATAGCTAAATAAAAATGAAGAAAAGTTTGAATTTATTTATAAAAGTTTCTTTACATAATCACGCTTAGATTTTTAGATTTTGTTTCTCATATGATCACCTTTGTGGTGCTCTAAGATATGTGCGCATGCGTTGTTTGTGGAAACGTAAGTGTGGTCGGTGATCAAGATGGTATCCCCGCTCTTCATAGGAATTGACATCAAAACGGTGCTGATCGCTGCCAGAAATCAGAAGTCTATTCATTAGAAGAACGGCATCATAGATTTGTTTTGTTTTTTCTTTATCATTATTAAGATTTCAACAATTTAGGTAATGGGTTTTGTATGATTTGGAGTATGCTTTACTGAATACGTCATTGATATGAATAGCATGTTTAGTTATGTGATATGTAGTTGCCCTACTTTCATTAAATTTGTGTTTGAATTATGATTTTGTTGACGTGCTGGTATTGTTTGTTAATTCTTTTACAAACATGTATCTCTTTATAGAATTTTATCAGGCGTTTTCGAATCGAAATAAAAAAGAATATAATAAAAAGAGGATTTTCTATAAAAAATACACGAGACCTTTGGAACAAAATGCTATTCTAAATCAACATCTATATTGTTAATACAATCATTTTCGTATCTATTGTGTTGACATCACGGTTATATTTAACACGTGTCGGCAATAACACTTTTCTGAACTCATTTTATTGTACAGGTCAAGATGTACCTCAAATACATTTGAAAATATTTATATCAAACAAGATATACCAATTGTAAAAAAGAACGATTTCGAGCGTTCGACTGAAAATAAATGACATTCGGAACAGAAGAATTAATTATACCTGTAGTAACATTAGGAACAAGTACCAAGTCTTCTGGATCAGCGTTCATAAATTCTGCAACGGAATCTCGACCTTTGACCCATTCAGGGATTTTCTTTCTCATGTTGACATTTGAAGGTTGCCTCTTTACTTCATCTTGGAATCTACGCATATATATTTTCAAAATCTCATGTAATGAAATCATAAAATCAGAACACAGCGGAGACGAACAATAAGTAACGAATCAGAAGAACTCTTCAATATCTGCCAACATGTTAATAAGAAGACACCAGCTGAAATTGATTTCATGTCCGAAAGATACCTGGATAAACACCTGGACAAACCTGGGCAAAGGTGTGTGTCCAGGGTCACCACCTAGTCTCAGGACGTGTTATTTACCTGTATATTTTCATACAGGTTAAGCAGACTTAAAGCGTGGACATTGTACCATTATTATAAGCCCTAATGTTAACCCTTTTGTATTTCAGAATACAAGTATAAAATGATTATTTAATCTAAAAATTCTGACAGAATAGGTTTTTTTTTCAATTACACATTTACGTATCTCATTATTAGGGTCCATGATATTGTTATGGCTGAAAGGCGAGTTACAGAGAGATATATAGCCAGTACAGTTGGGATTTCACAGGAAAGAGTACATTCCATTCTTACGGATGTTTTGCAATGAGAAAGCTATCAGCCCGTTGGGTACCAACACTTCTGACAGCTAATCAGAAGCACACCAGGCGAATTTTATCGCGTGCTAATCTGAAGCATTTAGAGGTAGATCCCGCTAACTTTCTGCCGAGGTTTGTGACTATGGATGAAGCGTTAGTCACCCTAGAGGCCAAAATACGGTGTAAACTATGGAAGCATCCTGGCTCATCCCCACCAAAGAAAGCAAATACTTATCAATCTGTTGGAAAGGTTATGGGCTCAGTTTTCTGTGATGCTGATAATAAACTTATGGTCGCTTATCTGCAAATAGTACAAACGATCAATAACACATATACATTACTTCTTAGGCAGTTTAGAAAAATGTTAGACTCAAGCGCCGCGGACAACTATGGTATTGTTCCATCAGGACAATGTCCCTGTTCACAAGTCTGTCATTGCTATCGGTGTCATGTCATGTGTCTTTGGATTTATGAGCATCCACCTTATTCGTTTGAACTGGCTCCATCAGACTTTCATCTATTTCCAAATTTAAAAATGTGTATTTCCAATACCCACTTTTGTTTGAATGATGACGTCATGCATGCAGTGGAGAACTTTCTGAACGGTCTGGAAAAGGACTTCTTTAAATGTAGCATTGTGACCCTTAAACATCGCTGGCAAAAGAGGGTAGATACTGAATGGGATTATGTTGAAAAATGGTATGCAATATGTCCGCCAAACGTCCAACACTTAAATATGAGGTTAGATGAGTTATTAATCAACCCTCGTATATTTATGTAACACAGTATTTGCCAGTAAGTAAACGATTATTAAAACATTCAGCAAAATAACATATTGCTTTTTGGATGAACAGAAAACTGGCGATAAAATAGTAAGTCTGGTGATATTTTGCGAAAAAAAATCACTTCTTTTTTATATGTTTTATGAAAATGTGAGCTGAGAGTTCATTCCTCGTGTAATACAGGTGAAATTGTCCGTCCTGCTGCCTTATCAAGGTGAAATCACAGCCCAATTAAATAATTAGTATCCCGCCTAGACCACTAATCCTCTCCGACCGATAGTTTCCCGGCGGGTAGATGTGTACTCACGTACGTAGCCCAGGGCATTTGAGACTTTACAGCGACGAATACTGTGACGAATATTGCGTCTTCTCTCCACTTCGTGCCCGAAAAGAAAACTCAAACCCGCAAATACTCATTTGCCGTACTAGCCCGTCACGAATTAGTGCAGTAGGCGTTTAATAATACATGGTGTAGAAAATACATTGTACGTACGAATCTCACTCCGACAGACGTGACGCAAACGTCCCTAACGCACACACTCCTCACCCACGAGAGCGTCCTAGACACTCCATACTCACCTCCCATCACAGAATGTATCGCGCGCCCAGGAAAAACCGGAGATAATCCCCGGAAACCTGTGTCCAACGGGGCTGGAATCGATTACCTCCAATTGCAATACGTTCTCCGGGCCGACACAAGGACCGGTGTCGAAAAAAAAAAAATAATAAAAACAATCGTTCTACCGGAGCGCCACTAACACAATATCAGCCAATCACACTCCCACTAAGCATACCCAGACTTCCAGATTTCCTCGCCAGGAATGCAAGCATAAAATAGCAAGACTAGAAAACGGAGCAAACCAACTACATATAATAATACTGATAGGCACACTAACTAACTAAATTAACTGGACTGCACTGCTAGACGGAGAGCTAGAGAATGACTATTCACCCGCGCACCCACCCTTACCTGGGCATACGCACGTGCTCTACGTGCCTGAGAAGACGAACTATTCCCGCTATACTACCGAAACGCGGGAATATTTAAGTCTTCTCTCCACTTCGTGCCCGAAAAGAAAACTCAAACCCGCAAATACTCATTTGCCGTACTAGCCCGTCACGAATTAGAGAATTAACAAAGAAAGGGCAAGGGGGTTGTGGTTGGGGAATACCTAACCGCCTTTGAATAATTGATCAAATAACCATATTAATTACAAACCTAACTTCTGTGTTACCAGTAAACGAGACTCCAAAGAGTCAGCGACATAACCATCCTTGCTAGATTCGCCTTTCCAGCGGCCATGCCTCCTGAAACATCGATCGTTCACTCCGTTGTTGGCGGCCACTGTGGCGCCCCCTGCTCTGAGCGAGTGTAAACCAAAATTTGTATCATTGGAAACTAGTTTCAACCTTTTCATGACAGCTTGCCTAGCCCCTGTGTAACTAAGTGGCTTATTTTTGTTAATAAGCTTACAACCCTGACCGGAACGATAAACTTGCTTAAACAAAAAATGATCCGAACTTAAGTCAATTTTTGATAACTCAACATACCTTGATAACATGGTGTACGGACAAGCTACAGTCGAACCTTTACTGATGACCACTTGACTACCAAAGCGATATTTGTCTGTTTTACTTTTCCTGATATTGAGCGTTAAATGCCCCTCGAAAAACTGAACATCAGAGCAACGCAAACTACTGAGCTCGTTAAAACGTAAAAAACCGGAAAACCCTAACAAAATCATGGCAAGATCTCTCACTACCAACAAGTCATTCTCATTCAAAAACATTCCACACAAATTGATCAAAATGTCAGTCGTGACCGGTTCCTTTTTGCAAACAGGATTTTTAGCCTCTCGTTTGGAAAATTCAATTAAGTTCTGTACGAATGAGTTTGTTGTAGGGTCGATGTGTCCGTTAAGATTGTGCACCCATTTGATAGCATATACTGCAGACGACACCACTGCGTAAGTCCCTCCCTTTTCCAATAAAGAATTTAAATATAATGCCACGTGTATGGGATTTGCCGGGATAGACGAAAAACCATGTCCGGAAATGAAATGTTCCCATTTCGCGAAAGCTCCATAGTACTTGGTGCCTGTGTTGACACTCCTGCTTAGTAAAAGTCTGCCAGCCATACCCTCGGTCAGAGCGTGCAGATCGGAACCCTCCGTTACCCCAGAAGCTTTGACGGCATCGCTGATCGACTTCCTCAGTCCTATGCCTGTAACAATAAACACAGTAAAACAATGCTCAGTATGGTATGAACATGTGTAAGTTTTCAATGTCTAAAGTCTAACCGGAGGGCCAACATGTCGAAACCCAAAATACTGGCTCCGAAACATCCATTGTTCCCCCTCCCCCTCAGTGTGACTTTTCTACTGGGCAGTATACGATAATCTACTATGAAAGAATCGAAAGCCCCATCCTTAGGACACAATAAGTGCCAGTATGCCGCGCTCCTCCAATGGGGGACAATTATGGTCCCATAAGCTCCTTCGTCCCTCATTTTGCTAACCACACCGCAAACGAGTCTAGGGGGAGGTACTAACCAGTTGTTGACTCCCTGCCATCTTACCGTGAAAGCATCGACTGCCTCTGTACCCGGGCACCACCACTTGGAATTAAAACGCACACATTTGCTGTTATAATCTGTCGCGAACCGGTCGATTTGATGTGGACCCCATAATAACTGACACTCCTCAAAAACCCATGACTGCACCGACCAATCGTCACAGTCTTTACATCTACTCAAGTAATCGGCGGTACTGTTACTAATCCTTGGTAGCCACTGTGTACTAACGCCCGTGTTATTATAATCCAACACCTCGTTAATCTCACGTGCGACCCTCTGTAGGTCTGGCTTCCTGCTACCAGTTTTCACTATGGAACAAACGTTTCTGTTATCTGTTAACAGTTTTACCTGCTTACCTTTGACCATATCGACCTTAGCCAACAACACCCTTTTGACTGCTTCTAACTCTCTCCAAGTTGAGCTATACCTTTTCTCCCGTTCATCCCATGTTCCCAACGCGACATGTTTATCCATGTGGTAAAGATCCCTTACTGTAGGAAGAGAGCGATCCAAAACGCTTACCTCGCTGCCCTGCAGACCAATCACGTCACTCACTGGGCCACCTACTAGTCCTCCCGTGGGACTAATACTGCTACCGCAGCAAAACCCGGGTCTCGGAGACCCCCTAACACCCTGGGTGCTGTTGCATTGACCAAGAAACTCGAACGTTTGACCCCATTTTGTTCCATCATGATCATGGCCTAAATATATCCGGGGTCGGACCTCACAAGCCCCCTGGGGGTGTTGAAAAACATCTGTACCATGTACCGTTACAAAGTCCCCCTGGGGGATTACACCTTGGTAACATTTGCTTGCACCTGTCTCGATACTGTTTGTATCGTGTATGTATGTGCACCCGTTGACACCTTGCGTCACTCCAACATGCTCACACCTGCCTGATGTGTCCACATATTGAACATAACCCCCGTATCCCTCACCGGATGCATCAGTACAAAGTATGGCGTCACAGACTAGGTGTTGCTTTAACTGTGAACCCTTATCGTTCAGTGCCTTTACGTTAGACAACCAAAATTGGATCTCGTCTAGAGCTCCCGACGTGAGCAAAACACGCGCATTCCAACTGGCTCTA